CTCAAACACCTCCCTGTGCTGTCCGACCTGGCTCCCGGTACCAAATCATGTAGTGGGTGGTCAGGGCTGAGCATACACTTGAACAACTTGACAGCCGCAAGTTCACGTCTTTCTCGGAGTGTTGGGAGGTCGGGAACATTCCTCCTTCCACCCAGAGAGATGATCTTCAAGGCTCTCCTCTGCACTCTCTCGAGAGAGTCAGTTGCTGTTTCTTACTACAGCTCACTAGAAGCACGTGGCCGTACTCAAGAAATTTCTACGCTTCTGGTTAAGGTAAAGTGTCCCGATTTCGTTCGTTTTGTATGTTAAAGGCCCAATATTTGTCACTGATATGACTATATTACGTCTTTGTTTTTTCACTCAGCCGACCCACCAATGGACCAACCCCAAACTGATAATCAAGCACGTGCGAACGGCGATGTAAACACATACGAGGTCACGTACGCCACCATACCAGGTAAAACGTTTTAGGTTTATCTCTTTTCTTGCATCCTGTTTTTCATCCCTTTGTAATTATAACCTCATTAAAGCTGAGGATTTCTTTTATGTAGTGACCTGATTTCATTTCATTTATTTCGAAACCTTTTAGCCCCGAAGGGCTAATCTTCCAAGGCTCAAACAATTAAAATTACATAATTACAACATAGTAGAAATATTTAAAAATACATACATACATACATGTACACCACATCAACAATAAATACACATAGATATTAACAATTTAAAAGTAGTGAGCAAGGGTCAAGGATCAGGTGACACTACTACTGTTTGAAACGGCTTTCTTAAAACTGATAACATCGCACAGTGTCTTAACGTCAGATGGTAGATCGTTCCAGAGCACGACTGCACGATACAGGAATGAGCGTTTTCTGCTATTGGACTTAGGTATTGGTAATATAAAGTTATGTGCGGAAGATCTGGTATTATGACTGGTCTGTGATTGGTCTGTGATAATATATGTTTTCGTACATATGTGTCGTTCGTCCGTCAGGTTGACGAGGACCGCTTTGTCATGCCTCTGTAGTAGGGTGTGTCCTCAGGTGACTGTAGAAAGCTCTGTCAATATATCTCCACAGTTTCGTAATGTAACAATTTTTAAGCATTATTTGTAAGTAAGAATGAAACCACTGTAAACATACAGGTCCAAGGAACTATTTCTTTAACTTCTAATGCTGAGGTCACTTTTCCAAACTAAAGGCCCGGACGGGCAGTTTTGATAAACAACAAAAATCGACAAGATGGCGTCAGTGCTGACGGGTCCTCAGTAATCACTCTCCCGTCCGAGCCGGGCATTTCGCGTTATACTCCCTGTTTTCCACCCCTGTGGCTCTCAGACAACTTGTTACTTTTGAGGTAACATACTTACCTTTGAATGCCGTCACGTAAGGGCGCAAAGAGGCAGAGGAAACAGGATCCACGGAGCTCGACTTCTGACGAATCCTTCAGAGAGGAGGGGCCGACTGTAAAGATGGCGACTGTGACGCTGAACAGTATTGCAAGTCAGCTGACTGCTCTGGCAAACCAAACCTCCCAAAGCTTCGTGAGACTTACTGAAACAGTTACAACCATGACTGAAGACATCAGGAGCCTGCGTCTTGAAGTATCAAGTGTCCAAGACAGCGTCAACCTTGCCTTCAAAGAAATTGAATCGGTCAAAGAGGACGCGGGTAAAAAAGCAGAAATGCTCAACAAGCGCATCGGATGAGCTGGAAGCCAAACTTCTGCAAAACGAAATCTACTCCAAACGACAAAACCTGCTCTTCTGGGAATTCCTTTCAAGGATGGAGAAGATAGTCGTCCAGGAAGCCTATGACTTTA